TCGTGATTTGAGGGACATGTCCTGTTGACTCAATGATCGGAATTGCTTGGAATATTCTTCGAATTCTTGATTCCACTATTTAGGACCTCCGAAAAAGTCCTAGAAAGTTGTTGATTTTTATTTCATTAGGCTGTCATGGACCTTAAGCCTACATTCGTTCGTCCTCCAACGCTGGAGTACGTCGCCGTAACAATTAAAGGATTGTAATGCGGTGGTCATAAAGATAGAGATGAAGCCAGAAAACGTGGTTGACAATGCCTGACAATGTTATAGGTTTTTATTTCATTACTCAGTCCTCCTCATCGACTTCAGATCATGAAAAATTTAATTTCCTAACACAGATTCCATCATTTACTCAACGTACATGTACATACATTCAGAAATCGTGGATACTTTCGAAACTTCTCTATTTCACTATTTAGGACCTCCGAAAAAGTCCCAGAAAGTTTTTGATTTTTATTTCCCCAAGCTGTCATGGATCTTAAGCCTACCTTCGTTCGTCGTCAATCAAAGAACGCCTGACAATGTCTTAAGTTTTATCTCATTACTAGCCGAATTAAAATTAAACCTAAAATTTAATATCCTAACACCGATTTTACCATTTTCTCAACTAACATGTATTTTCGGAAATCTTGGGATATCCATGAAACTTCTCGATTTCACTATTTAGGACCTTCGAAAAAGTCCCAGAAAGTTGTTGATTTTTATTTCCTTAAGCTGTCATGGACCTGAAGCCTATCTTCGTTCGTCGTAAATCAAAGCACGCCTGACAATGTCGTAGATTTGATCTCATTATTCAGTCCTCCTCATCGACCTCAGATCATGGAAAATCAATTTACTAACACCGATGTAAGAAATTTCAACTTCGGAAATATTCACAGTTCATGCTTACCTGTTTCATCACTGAAGAATGAGTAATCCATTAAACAAAAAATGCAGCGCCATCCGTAATCACCACCGTTTACTGTTAGCGCAAGAAAGTTTTTCAACACACTTTGTGTAACACTGAGGCTTTCAATTACAGATTCAGATTAATCCGGAGCGATTTCTAGGTTGCGTTTCAACAAAATCCTCCTTGCCCCTTCACCCCCGCGAAGCGAAATTACGGAAGATACTGAACGCACCTCGGAAAGTGTTTATTTTTGGTGAATCGTCGATAGATGACCCTTATCGTTGATCAACGGGTCGATTCGACAGAAATTTAAATGAGCAAGTCCTGTCGTTAGCAGATAGCCTCGGGGTGTGATTAACGCCACGGCTTATTTCGTGCCTCTCGTCCGCGCTCCCGTGCTAAGGAAGAACGCCGTATGAACAATCGAGAGTTGCCAGATTTCCCCGGGTAAAACATGTAGTTTTGACGAATTCTATAATAGATATCTTTCCTTTCAATTTTCTGATGTTTTAGATTAATTTGCGTACGAAATAGTCTCCAAAATTGGAAGAAAAAAATTTACAATTTCCTCAATAAAGTTGTATCTCATCTGATGAAATTTGGCAACGCCTGAAGGTTCATACGACGTATTTCCTTAGCATGGCAGCGCACCTAGCTGGTATCTCAAACTGGATCAACCATTCCCGGCCTGTTTTTGTTTTTTCGCTCGCTTGTGTTCCGATACCAAAGTTGCATTTTGCAACGGAAAAACCGCGATATTTTGAAATTAACTTGCGATTTTCTTTACGATTTTTGGCGATAAAATCGCCAGAACCATCAACATGTGAGTGATTGTCCTCAGCCTCGTCGCAATTTTATCTCTACGAGAGTCGCGTTCGGTAAAATCGAAGTTTTATCCCAAAATATTACGATTTTTTGTTCGATAATACAGTAAAAGTTCGTTAAGTCGAACTACGATTAAGACGAAAGTCTGCTTAAGTCGAAATTTTCTTCGGTCCCGCGACGTTGCATATGGAACAACGTTAAAAAAACTACGCCTTAGACGAATTCGCGAATTTTTAAGCCGGGTGGAAAGCCGCATATGTCGAAATTTTTTCTCGAAAAATCCGGATTTTTACAACGAAACACAACGCACACAAAAAATGCGCAATATAGACGGGAGAAATGTAGAAAAGAGATTCGTTGCTACGTACCTGTATACACGAAGGGTCGATAATTATTGTGTTTCATTACTTTTATCACTCCTTGGTCAAGGGGCTGAAGGATGGACGTCGCATTTGGCGGGAAAAATTCAATTTTGACATGAGTTAAACCTTCAATTTCAGGAGGATGAGCAGTACAATTATCTATGAATAAACTTATTTTTTTGCCTTTACCGGCCATATCTCGATCTAACTTTTTTGACTCATACTTTGAAGAAGTCGCCGGTCATCCAAGCAGTTTTGTTTGCTTTGTAATCGCATGAAAATTTTTGACGATTCAGATTTTTGAAGCATCGCGGATTATTTGCATGGCCTATCATTAGTGGCATTGCCGCTTAAGTCGAATTTTTGCGATTTTCACGCTGATTTCAAGTTAAGCGGAGAAACGAATAACTCGGATTGCCGCTTGAGTCGAATTTTTCATTGGTCCCCAGACAATTCGACTTAACGAACTTTTACCGTTTTGCGATGAATCGCCGTCGATGAAATCGCGAGTTTATTGCAATAATCGGTATAATTGCAATTTTTCATCCGATTACATTGCAATAAATTTACGTCGATCAAATCACGATCATTCTCCGATCAAATCGCAACTTTTCTCGCTATTACTTCCACTCGGGTGCTGAGTCAACACAACTTATCGGACGCTATGCACACAGCACATACCACTTGTATACCAATGTATTTGCAAAGTTTCCTTTGTAAAGGTTTGATTTTTAAAGGCGCGCTCGGTTCATGAGAATTGGTCCGCAATTTCTTCGGTTCGCAAGCGCCTTGCGATGATTATTTGAATCGCACGGGTCGCCTTGCTGCGGTGGTGTGTGCTTGGAAGTCTTGTTAAGGGACAACAAAACAAATAAAGGTTCTAATTACACTTCGGAGATCGCTGAGTGAACTTAAGGTGATTCGATGGAGGCCATTTTTTGTGTTAGAGCGACCTGCGATATATCGCATCGATTCGTTCCATAATTTCAGCTACTTGTCATGTTTCGAATTTTGAGATCGCAATTCTGTTGTCAGGAGACTTAAGAACTCATATACCAAATTTGACAAAGAAATTCAATGTTATAAAGGCGTGGTTTTTTTAGAGGAAAAATATCGCATTCGATACTGATATCGAAACTGCACTCGAATGCAATATTTTTCCTCTAAAAAACCACGCCTTCGATACGTTGAATTTCTTCGTCAAATTTGATACATGAGTTCTTAAGTCTCATGACAACAGTAGTGCGATCTCAAAATTCGAAAAAAAATGACAAGTAGCTGAAATTATGGAACAAGTCGATGCGATATATCGCACGTCGCTCTGACACAAAAAGTGGCCTCCATCGAATCACCTTAAAGCCGCCAAGAGACTTTTTCACTCCGTCCTTAGATATTCTGTTATCATGATAAAATGAGGAAATGGGTATCAGAGATGAGTTCGAAAGAGTTATGCAACCGTATATATGAGACACGATCTTTCACTTGCGAATTTCAAACGCACAAAGCGCGGAAGTTGTCCGTTTACGTGCTTTGGGAGATTCTGAGGACTGCACGTATGGCGAATCGGTCGAACGCATACTGCAAATCGAGATCTTTCATTTCGAAGTTTAAAACTAAAAATGCGTCGAAGGTGTCAGATTGCTTGCTTTTGGAGACTCTTAGGGCTGCATACACGGATAATTAGTTGAGCGTATCATGTGAGACGAGATTCTTCCCATGTAAGTTTAAAACTCACAAAGCGCGGAAGTTGTGCGGTTACGCGCTTTTGGAGATTCTCAGGGCATACAGGGCATACACGGCTATTCGGTCGAGCGTATCATGTCAGACGAGATTTTGCACTTGTGTGAGTTTAAAACTCACAAGTCGCGGACATTGTGTGGTTACGTGCTTCTGGAGATGCCAAGGGCTGTATACATGGCTATTCGGTCGAACGCATGACACGAGACGAGATCTTTCACTTGCGAGTTTAAAATTCACAGAGCGCAGACGTTGTGTGGGAACGTGCTTTTGGAGATTCTAATGGCTGTATACACGGCTATTCGGTCGAGCGCATCATTTGAGACGAGATTTTTCACTTGTGAGTTTAAAACTCACAAAGCACGGAAGTTGTGCGGCTACGTGCTCTTCGAGATTCTGAGGGATGCATAAATGCCTAATCGGTCGAGCGCATCACGTCAGACGAGATTTTGCACTTGTGAGTTTAAAACTCACCAGTCGCGGAAGTTGTGTGGTTACGTGCTTGTGGAGATGCTAAGGGCTGTATACACGGCTATTCGGTCGAACGCATCATATGAGACGAGATATTTCACTTGTGAGTTTAAAACTCACAAAGCGCGGAAGTTGTGTGGTTACGTGCTTTTGGAGATTCTTAGGGCTGCATACACGGCAAATTAGTTGAGCGAACCATGTGAGACGAAATTTTGCACTTGTGACTTTAAAACTCACACGTCGAGGAAGTTGTGCGGTGACGTGCTTTTGAAGATTCTCAGGGCTGTATACATGGCTATTCGTTCGAACGCATCATACGAGACGAGATGTTTCACTTGTGAGTTTAAAACTCACAAAGCACGGATGTTGTCCGTTTACGTGCTTTTGGAGATTCTTAGGGCTGCATGTATAGCGAATTGGTCGAACGCATCATCCGAATGAAGATCTTTCATTTCTACGTTTAAAACCCAAAAAGCGTCGAATCTGTCCAATTGCTTACTTTTGGAGATACTTAGGGCTGCATACACAGCTAATCGGTGTGACTCATCATGCGATTCTTTAGCTTTCACTTGTGAGTTTAAATTTCACAAAGCGCAGAAGATGTGCGGTTACGTGCTTCATAACCTTTTAATTCCACTCATTACCCGCAAGTTGTGAATACTAACTTAAATTGATATTGTTAGCCCAGCTAATGATAACGGTTGTCATTTCAGAGCTCAAGATATCAGCTTGACGCTTCAAGACCCGGACAAGCCGGAGGAGTACCTGGGAGAAATCGTGCTTACTACCACTCTCTGGCCGAGGACGCAAGAGGACAAAGAGCAAGTAAGTTCAGTACAATTTAGTACAGCTGCACTTATAATGGTAGAACTCGACGCAGAGGGAAAAAAAGCTATCGCGACATTCGGCATCGTCAAATGATCTTAACGAAATTGCCTGGATCAACTGGACTGCATTTTGCAATTTGGACCTATAAATTCTGGTTGGGTTTAAAAACAACGTATGTTCCATTAGTTTCCCTATGCACATAAGTGGTTTTTTCAGGTGAGCCAGAATTTATAGGTCCAAATTGCAAAATGCAGTCCAACTTTCAACCCCTTCAGACTTCAGGCTGGTCACCTGGACTGGCATCTCCGATGAGCCGAATTAGCCTGTTTGGATCGCGTTTAGCTGAAAGGAACCAAGCCACATCAGCTATTGGCAAATTTAACTCTGCAATTTAATTTTTTCAAGAGAACTTTCGTGCGGATTTCTTTAGAATATTTTTGAGTAATTTTCTTGAGCTGCACAGAAAATTTACTGAAAGTTGCACTAAAATCTGCGCAACCGTTTTCATGTAAAAAATCAAACCGTCAAATTAAATTTGGCGAAAGCCGATGTTGCTTGGTTCCTTTCTGATTAATGCAGCGTTGAATACACCTCTTTGCAGTTCAACATCCTTCATGTGTGCATTTGCTCTTCCCATTTCCGGGTGTATTTTTTGGGGCCTCAGCCACTAATTTCCCTCTATCGGATGGGAAGCTACCAAGAGCGCGCGGGCCTGGGTTCAGCTCCATTGAGCTGGGGTTCCTAACTGCACCGGGCGCAAGCGGGAGTCCCTACTCTGATCTCCGGGCTAACCGGGATCTTAATATTACGCGCCGGGGAAACCTTACCATACGCCGGACGCACCGGGGAACACCTTACTTTAATTTGCCTGACTTGATGCCGCACACTGTGGTATCTGACCGAAAAACCTGGCCAAAACCTCAATTTTAATTTTTTTTTTTTTGGAAATCCAATGTGATTTTCGAAATCTACACTGCTATTTACCCCAGTAAACATGTATGTGCCATTTTTCGAGTGGCTCAATTTCCCGCGAAGAGACCACGAAGTTATGTATTATAATGTAAGTAACGTGTAACGTAACCTTAATAATGAATAGTTCCGTTTAGCGGAAATACGTCCAATTTATCTTCAGCGATCATCGTATTACAAAGTTTAATTCCAACTATTGGCTGGCATTCTTCGCAATATGAAACCAGTGGCGTGGGGTGCGTTGCGATTTATCGATTATTATACCATCTAAACATATGGAAAAGGATCTAAAAACAGGATGTCCGAAAGGGACACCTTAATAATCGATCCTTTACCATACATTCAAACGGTAAAATGCTGATAATCGATCTTTCGCGCTTCGCCACTGATTCAAATATCGTATTAACACAGTAAGATTCCGCCCTCCCCCGCCGTGACCGCAGGGGTCGCGACCTATACTGCCATGCTAAGAAACAACGCCGTATGATCCTTCAGGCGTTGCCAAATTTCCTTTGATGAAATGCCACTTTCCTGGTAAATTTATGAATAATTCCCCCTCAATTTTTCAGATAATTTAGTTCACAATTTTACCCACAGATTCTGAGAATATATAGGAAAAATATTCCTAACTTTCCTAAAAAATTAAACATTTCATCGAAGGAAATTCGGCAACTCTCGAATGTTCATACGGCGTTTTTCCTTAGCACGGCAGTATAGCTTTGCGCTGTCTATACTCGTTTTCAGTGATCTTCCGCGGCGAATAATGTTTTAATCGCACGTGGGCCATTAACCACCGCACGCAGGTACAATCGCGTATCTACCAATGGTTCTCACCGGAGATGAGCTGTTTTTACTCAGCAAGGCAGCTCAGTCAACCGTCAGACGTATGTCGGTCACTCCCGAAGTTTGTCACGAACACGGGTTGGCTTTTAAAGCCCCTCGTAAACTTGTAGGGCGGTTTCCCGCGTGGCTGACCACCCCTCGCGTCCGATGTCGAAACCGCGCTACTTGACTTTCAGCTGAGTCCTGCCGTTCGTATCGGCTCGTTTAATCCAGGGTTCAAGGAGGTTTTGGCTCGCGACCTTCTGTGATTGAAGCGTACGAAAATTGACTGAGAACCATCCCTTGGTTGTCGTGCTTTTGAAGCGTGTGACGCACTTCTTTTGATGCGGAGCCCACGCGTAAGGAGTGGTCGTTTTCATTTGATGAAAGGAGTCTCAAGTTTTAATATCGTTATTGCCCGGCGTTCATTTCGCAAGGTAGAGACGACCTCAAAACGGGTCGTAATGTTAATGGGATTGCATCTAGCATGAAGGAAACAGCGCGATTCCAGTGTTGGAAAAATGTTGCTCCGTTATGATTATCAAACAGATCTCCTAGAATAACAAATAGTTTTTGCTTCCTGCCCCAAAATTGTTAATTTTAAAGGAAAATAATCGTGTATATTTTAATACTGTGCGTATTTTGAGTAAAAGGCTCAAAAAGACGGAAGTGCAGCAAAGAAGAGGAGTAGCGTCGGCTTCGGGTTAGCCAATTGGAAAAATTTCAAAAAAAATTTTAATACTCATTTTTTTGTTTCGAAACAAGGGTTTTAAAAGAAGCATCTTTTTTCAGTTGGCTTACTCCAAGCGGAGGGGTTTTTAGTGGATGGAAATCCCACACACACATCTTGGGTTCCTACGGCTATCTATGATTGAGTCTTTAAAATCATTTTCCCACCTTCATTCATAATAACAATTACCTTCATAATATTAATGTAGACAGGCCTTTATTCACACATGTAGGTTTACAGGTTGACCATGCGTTTTTCTTTTATATCTTCGTTACCACGGAGACCCGGGTTGAAGGTGAATTAGCTGTAACAAGCTTCCACCCTTGAGGTTGCCTCAATTTTCATTTTCATTTACCTAACTTTTGACTTATTTTCAACTTGACGGTTTTTAAATATATAAAATTGTTATATGTAACCAACTGTAAAATTTTGGATTTTACTCAATGTCTTTTTGATTGTCACCTAACACATATTCCTTGACGATTATTGCTGAGAAAGCTATTGAGTACAGCAAGGCTTTCAGCAGATCGTCTCGAAGATAAGACAAATTATAAAGAAAACCTTTCATGTAGTACTGCTCAGATCCACTAATCATCAAAGGAAATGCGGTCATTTTTTGGCGATTTTCCTAGTGATGAATTAGCTCTTGGTGCGATAAGCCTAAACACAATTTTGTACAAGCGCAGGGATGCTGTAGAATTGGAGAAGGTCAATTTATAGAGTTGTATTAGACTAAATAAACATAAATCCGATTTTTAAAAGCTGAGAGAAATGGCTATTTGACGTTCTTAAAACAATTTCTTAACTTAATTCTGTTCAGAAGCTACAAAATAGGTAGACTCACCGTCTCGGCAACCTCGTAAGATGCTTAAATTAGGCATTTTTGGTGATTCTTCGCTCATATTTAAGATTTATCTGCAGCTGACATGTTCAAAACCAGACAGTTCTTATCAACATTGGAGCAAATTTATGTTTACTCTGCATTCGTGTACATTGCTAAAACCATTGCAACGTATGATGCAAGTTAAGTCATTTCTTTAATCAATTTCTGGAGGGTTTGTCTTACCTTACAACAATTTACTGTATATTCAAGTATACTGTGTCTACTGTTTTAAAGATCAGTGTTATGGAGTGAAAGAAAACATTGAAAAATTTCAAGGGTCGATGCAAACCATGTGTTACCAAGGAAAGTGATTTGCCAGCACTGGGTCTCTTCCGGCTGGGTACAGGCTTCTTTAGTTTTTTGGGTGGCGATCGAAAAATAGCATCGTCGTCATCATCATAATCATCATCATTATTATTGTCATCATCCAAAATGGGATTATCATTAGTACCTGCAAAAATGAAAACTCTCTTTGTAGACTCCACTTTTGAAAATTCTTTTTCTAATGTGAAACGGAATTATTGCTCGAATTAGCAACAATCCTCAAGTTTGGGAACGTGCTTCATTCCGTCATTGCACGGGTCAATATTTCATTTGGTGCTTCCAAAGTACCGCATGGCTCCGGATTCTTTCTACTCATGCGTTAGATATTGGTATTGAGCGCAATAAGTTGACGACTTTTCAAAAGTTTGAAAATTCAGTTTCCTGTAATATTTTTAACATCAGCAACTTTTTTCCAATATGTATCACTCTTTTCATTAATGGGTATTAGATTTGAGTCAAGGTAGGCTCTCCAGTCTCCTATGCCTGTCTGTTTCCGGGGGGTCAGAAAATACGAGAGGGAAATGACTTTTCAGTCGGGTTATGAGCTCAACATAAAAACAATGCACGGTGGTGAGGAATTGATCAATGTCTTTCTTGTACTTGGGATAACTTCTAACAATTCTTTGAACGTGGTATCCTCGTCACAGCGAAGGTGAAATGTTTTGCTTGGTTTTGACTACTTTCGGATCCGCGTGGTCGAACAAATAAATATTTGCACTGGATTCTAAGTCTTTTATCTCGATAAACCACCCAGAGATCTCTCGCAACATTTCTTATAATTTAGATTCTAACAGAAACAACAAACGAACTTCTTTTTGGAAGAGCTTATTTAAGTGGTCAAGAACTTTTAGGACATGAGAGCTAACCTGGAGGTATAGCAAACCGCGATAACTCCCGTTTGCTTCATCCTGAAAGTGTTCCCGAAAATTTTAAAATAAAAGTTTTCGAACTTATTCCGAAGCTGCCGCAAGCATTAGCTGATCAAATTCACCGGCGGAGCGTAATTGGTTGGCTATGTCTTATCGTAGGAAAATGCAATGTGTATATGTATTTCCCAAAAATTGTCTATTTTCAATTTTATAAAATTGGATAGTTACTAAGTTGAATATTTTCAATAATTGTAGGGCCACTGAACTTTTCAATCGAATTCAGCGAGCTTATAGCCTAGTATTGAGGGGCTGTAACATTGAATTTATGAAATCGAGCTTTTCTTCCTGTTTCTTGTTGCCCGAGAATTTGCCACCCAAATCAGCAAAATACTTCTGGAGA